TGACACAGATATCAGCTGTGTGTGCACAAGTTCTAAATTTCATAAAACTCTATTTCTGTTCAGAAATTAGAACAAAACTGGCAAAACTCTTGTGCATACCTGATCCTGAGCTAAGCATGGCCCCTCCATAGATATCCAAAGCCAGCTTAGAATAGGCAAAGCCAAAAATGGTGATGGTCAGGCCGGCCAGCAGAGCCAGCTTGAGCAGGGACTCCAAAACTGCAGCGGCAACAGCTATGTCCTCCTGGTGCCAGGGAGAGGGAAGAAAGTTGGATGAATCATGAGCTAAAGAAAACTTCACATCTGACCTTCCTCCTTTGCTGTTTTACAGATCACTCTTTCAACTGGTGAGGGGCATCACTGCTTTTCTGTAGCCTGTGTTTGTTTCTGTCAATTAGCAAATGAAGGAAAAAAGACAATGTGTGCCTCCTTCATAGTGCAAGGGAGGTTTAGTTTTTATTTCACTTAAGATAAATTATTTCAAATGTTGTTTGGAAATACCTTCCCTGCTGATATTTATTCTTAAGTAGATAGCAAATTTTTACATTGCTAGCTAGTTTTGCCAGTGTGCTCCTCCTGACAAAAATCTCTAAATCCTGAGGTTCCTATCAATGTAGTTTAGGAAAATATTCCTAAATGAAACGAAAAAACAAATTAGCTCGTTTTGAGATAGTGTACAAAAATATATTTTGCAAAATGTCTTCTAAGACACGTAAGAGGCCAGCTTACCTTGCTTTTAATTCTCAATTAAGACAGACATTTTCAATGGTTTTAGAAAAAGGGAAGTTTCTACAACCAAATACACCTAGATTAAAATCTCTTCTGTATTTACCAACCGGAGTATGTAAATTCTCATGGTCAGAATCCAGCTCTGGACATTTCACCATCCTTAAGAAGCATAAACAACTGGTGTGGTGAGAAAACTGAGTGGTCGGGTCCTTTCCTCCCCAGGCTCGAGGTAGCCTTGCCATAGTCTCTGCATCCCTTGGCTCACCTTTGGTTTTTACACCTAAGACTAAACCTTGGGAGGGGGTCTGCCCTTGTACTAGAGACAGTCATCAAGAGTTCTCAGAGAGCTAGGTCAAGAATAAGGTCACATAGAAAGGGAGAAAGTCATGAAAGAAGTGAGCTCAGGGTCCTGTCATTATTCAAAATATGATAGAAGAATGAAATCTAGAAGAAAATCAGATCAGACAGAAGAGAAACAGACTGTTCCACATTTCTATTTACCTTACAATTAGAGAGAGCATTCACTTGAGATGGTGACAAAGAACCAAGACTACCTGCTTCTGAAGTGTGGCATCTTTTTCTCTCTCCAGCACCTTAGCAAAGAATATATAAAAGCTCTCCTCTATTGGCTGGAAAATTAATCTGGCCACAAGGGAGCCAAGATTATTCACTATATCATATACACCTACAAAACAAAAAGGAAAAAACAGCAATCCTACTAGCTTTCCTATTTGATTTTTCACAGTACTTTAAATTTTTTTCAAATTTAATTTTTAAAGGAAACTTTTTGCAATAGCTCTAGATTTACATATAGTTGTAAGAAATAATAGAGATCAACTTAACCCTTTATTCAGTTTCCCTGAATAGTTACATCTTGCAAAACTATAGTACAATGTCACAACTAGGATACTAGCACTGATACAGTCAGGATATAGAACATCTCCAACATCAGCACTGTTTTATGAAAGTCATTAATGCCAAGTTGATTTTTTTCCTATTTTTATTCCCACTATATTGGGGTTATATTAAAAAATAAATATTGAGACCTATCTAGCCACACAAATATGCAACGAATCTTAGTGATTGTGATGGTAAGCTCCCTTTTCTCTTAGCACCTCACTGTCCCCCAAAATGAGCACGAGAGCTCTGCAGGAAGAAGAGTAAGGGCAGGGGATCTCAACAGAGAACCTGCCACCCAAGTCACATGAGAGGAGAGAGTCAATACTCTGTATATATTTATAAAGGTCTACAATTTTCAAATTTCAGGACTTGTTTTTTTACAATCTTCATTTTTTATAATCTTCAGGTTCATTTTTCATTAACCATAACAAACTGCAAAGAAAAATATCAGCGAGTATCTACTAATAGTATTCACCTTTAATTAAAATACTACAAAATTTCACCTTACCCTGATCGCCAAAATTTAATACATTCAAAAATGTCATCACATATCGCTCGCCTACAAATAGAAAAGCAAAATAATTAGCATTTCAAATATATATTATTTTCTTGTTTCCTTTTCTCTTATCATCTATCAACTTTTCCAGTTTGCAAATACTCTCAAAGAAGAAAAATTAGATAATCAATGAAAGACATGTCCCTTGCCCTAATGTTGATTTTAAATAATCTCAAAGTAGTAACAATTTGGAAAGCGCTGGAGGATATATTGACAGCAAATTTCCAAACCAGTTAAAGACAAAACAAAATAGAATCAATAAAACCAGTCTAATAAGTTTTTTTTAAGTATAGGAAGATTACTAAAATATTAATAATGGAAATGATTGTGTCAAGTGTTAAGGGAGGTCAGATAATCTATGTGTGAAATCTGTGAAATGAAAGGTTCATAGTTATGTGCACAGACTCATCAAAAATTTCCTCTCTGGGTGGAGAAAGCTCCATGGAGGCTGGCAAAGCTCTGGAGCCTAAGTTCATAATTCAAATCTAAGACAGTCTAATGCCTTTGAGGTGAAGACATCAGCCCAAGAGCCCAAATCCACTCCCAACTTCCATTATTTTATTATCCGTGAATGGAATGCAGTGACCACTAAGGAGATAGAGCACTGAACTGTGCCTACAGCACATTCTTACCTCCTAACAACTTGCTCAAAAAGGAAAGCAATATTAGGAGACTAGAAGCAGTGATGTCTCAAGTCTCTCTGGTCCTTACCTCCCTATAATCTCCCAGCCACTGCATCTGCAACAGGAACCTCTGTGGGGCCTCCCACGCACTGGCCCACATGGTTGCTCCCATCTGCATCTCTGCACTTCTTCGATCCCTCCTCACTGCTAACAGTTCCAGCTTTTGCAAATACAGCTCTTAAGTCTACCTCTGCTTTCACAATTTTAAATGGCTCGCTAATGAATTTGCAAAAAGTCCAGGCTCCTTAATTCTGTACTTGAAAACTTTTATGAACTGACCCTAAGCTATGTTTTTGGCCACCTTTCACCAACCTCATCTTCACCTCCCACCATCACATGGTCATCGTTGAGTACACTCAGGCTCTTGTCATTCTCGCCTGCTCTGAGTCAGGCTCGGCTCTTGTCATTCTCGCCACCTAGAATGGCTTTTCCACAGGGAACTCCCTGTGTTCTGGCACAATAGGCCTCTCCTTCCTATACTCTATAAGCTCCCTGAGGGCAGAAACCATGTCTCAGTCCTATCTCTAAGTCCCTGGTTTTCTGGCAGGCTGCCAGGAAATGAGAGGGCACTCAAGAGATGTATGATGAATGAGCTCACGTTTCAAAGTACAGCCCTCACAGCCCCTGTGTCAAATTTAACCACAGAAATGTCTGCATATTTGATGAGAGAATGAGCTCCTCGAGGCCGTGGCCTGTTACTCATTCATCTGTGTATTCTCAGCACCTGACACACAGTGTTCAGGAAATGTGGGGGCAGAAGGTAACAGCATATAACAGCATATTTTGCCACTACAATGAATGATTTCAACTTTTTTAGAGCTGTAGTTTTTAGATAAAAATAATCTAGGGGTCCTTATCAAGCCGGTTCTTTATTTCACAGCCATGGGGATGGAGGCCCTGAGAAATTCCCAATGGCCTTCTGCCATTCAGGCCGGAGAGGCCCAACTGTGGAGCGAGCAAGCAATCGGCACCACTTTCAGGCCTAGATCAGGAGGCTTGAGTGCATGGCTAACTTAAAGCTGCTGCTGCAAACACATGTTCTGCCACTTCAATTGAGACAACCAATTTAGGACCATTGCTGAGTAGATCCTTTCCTCAACTCATTTAAACTGCTCTTAAAACTCTGGGAGGAAAAAGTACACATAAGCAACTGCTGTTTCCAAAATTCTTAACAATAAAGTGAACTACCACAATTCACAATTTCACTGCAGTTACCTTTCTTTTCTTTTTTTAACTTGAAATACTTTTTTTTTTTGTATTTCTAATTTCTTAAAAATTAAATTTATTGGGGTAATATTGGTTAATAACATGTTTCAGGCAAACAGTTCTATAATACATCACCTGTATACTGCATTGTGGGGTCACCACCCAAAGTCTAGTCTTCTTCCATTACCATATATTTGACCCCCTTTACCCTATTCATCTTCCCTCCACTAGTAATCTTTATTAGCAAATACTTGCTGAATTCCTACCATGTACAGTGAACAGCGTACTCCCTTACTCTCAAAAAACATATTTAAGGCACCTCTACTCAGCTCTCGGAAGGCTTCTGATCCTTACTTCTCCCAGAAGTTCTGCAAACAGTTTCACTTTTGTGAATGTTACAGGCTCACACTAGAATGTTACAGGCAATGTTATAGGCTCATGCTAGAAGCATGCACTCTCAAAGTTCAGAGAGCCTCCAGACACCTCTTGGTCTTATCCCTTAACTCAGGGGTCCCCAATTCTAGACTGCAGACCAGTACTGGTCCATGGCCTGTTGGGAACCAGGCCACACAGAAGAAGGTGAGCGACAGGCAAATGAGCTAAACTTCATCTGTATTTGCAGCTGCTTCCCAGCACTAGCATCATCACCTCAGCTCCACCTCAGATCATCAGGCATAGATTCTCATAGGAGCACCAGTCCCTGGTGCCAAAAAGGTTGGGGACCTCTCTATTCACAGATGGGGAAAGTAAGGCTTACAGGGAGTTAACTTCCATTTAGAAATATAATTAGGAAAAAGTAAAGATAGAAGGAGAAAAAGGAAAATAACAAGATAATAATAATGATGGTTGTAGAGTTCTAGAACTATAGGGAAGTTTTTTATTTTCCAAAATTTTTGTATTAAGGTTATATTATTTTTATAATTAAAAGATAATTTTTGAAAAGACTTAAAAATATGTTTAGTAATTGATATACAGATGGATAGACATATTAAGTTTATATATGAAGAGAAACTACTATCTTCAGCAGCTTATAACTGCCTCAAATCTCATTCTTTGAACTAAAGCTGGGTATAAATAAACCAATACTAGATATACTTTCAGCTCCTTGCTGGCCCTCTGCATCAAGAACTCTGTCACTGTTAAACTGGAAAGCCTTAGAAAGTTAGAAGGTTGACCAAACTATCACACAGGTGAATCTCACCATTTAAGAAAATAAAATGATTAAAACTTGGTTCTTTAAAAAGTTCAAAAAAGTAGTGTATAAGAAGTTAGGATAGGATAATGAGATTGCAGATAGTTTTCTCTATTTTCCAATTTTTCTGTAATTGATATAATACTTTTGTAATATTTTTATTTAAATGATATAACATGGGGCTTGCAGTTAGACTTGGATTCAAATTAAGTTGTTCCTCATCACTGTAGGATACTGCAGAAGTTATGTTACTTTGCTGGCCCTCAGTTTCTTCAGCCATAATAAATAAAGACAATATCTTTTTTACAACGCTGTGGAGAGATTTAAATTAGACAATTAAGGTATCAAACTAAATAAACATTAGTTTCCTTTTCCTTATATAAAAAGCTCCCATTTCTGAGGTTCCTCTGCCCAGGTACTACAGACACTGGACGGTCTGGATCGAGATGATCAGTATTTCTGTGGAATCCCCTTGCTTATACTCTGGTTTCCAACTGCTCAGAGTGACCTTTTACTTACCTTCTGTCAAAATCTGTTTCAAGAAAGACTGTTTGAAAAAACTCCAGGTCAATTTAGCCTCTTCCCAATTTACAAAAGCCTAAAAGAGAAAACAAAACAAAACAAAATCCCAGGCACTGCAAGTATTAAGAGTAGAATTATGCTACGTGAGAAGCGAACTCATTTTGGTCCCTAAATCCTAACTTGAATAGTCCTCACTACTTTTTCATTTAATACTAAGCACATAGAGGTATCCAACAAATAATGGCAAAGAATTTATAATCCTAAACACGAAGACAAAATCTCTAGGTGAGACAGCCTCCTCATAAGAGGCCTGCCCAAGATTCATTCACTGAGACCCCTAGAGAATTGTGCTGTTCCCTTGCTGCTTCTACCCAGATAATAAGCTGACCACATCTAACACATACAGCTCAGTCAGTTCTTTCCTTAAAATATGTCTGAAGCATGCCAACGTGTAGAACAAATTTTGCTCCATATACTCTACATTTTAATGCTATATTTAGCCTTCAAGGATCCCTTTACACCAAGTATATGAGCTTTGCTTGTATGTTTCAAAAGAAAGTCCAGCTTCCCAGGTCAGTTAAACCACTCAGAATTCGTATAACAGAGTAAAGAAAAAATAAATAAAACTAAACTTTCCATTCGGCTCTTCCAAAACTCCCAAGGAGGGCACCAAACTGCCCGTTTCATAAGGACAAGTTGGGTAAGAAGGAAGCAAAGCCTTAGGAAGGGCAGAGGTCAACCTGTAAGAAACAGGCAGCCTCAAAGCCAAAGAGCTGACCATAAAAAGGAGGATTGAGGCAGGTAGCTGGACATGACTTCCTTTTTTTCCATCTCTTACCAGTTCCCTCTGGGGGCCCCTCCTATATCACGAAGGCATCCTGGATCCCAAAATATAGTGTCTAGGTATTAGGTTCCTAATCCTGGGGTACCTACATTTTGAAAGTTCCTATTAACTCAAAGTGATGACTTGAAAGGTGGGATTTCAGGGGGCTCTTTGGGAGATACGGGGTGAATCACAAAGGCCATGTCTACTCCACCTCTCCAAAAGGTCAACTTTAGCTGGAAGTTGGCCCAAGGGCAGGCCTGGAACCTGTCCCAGTCATATGGGCCCTTGTTCTTGGCCCAAAGCCTATCTGGGTAGAGCAATGCTATCCAGTAGAAATATAATGCAGGCCACATATATAATTTAAAATTTTCTAGGAGCCACAGTGAACAGTAAAAAGAAACAGACAAAATTAATTTTAACATATTTAACCCAAAATATCATTTCAACATGTAAAAAATGTTAGAGGTATTTCATATTATTTTTTTCATAGTAAGTTTCTGAAATCCAGTGTGTATCTTGCACGTATAGCTCATCTTAATTCCAAATGCTTTATAGCCATATGTGGCTGGTGACTACCATTTAGGACAGAGCAAGTTTAGAGTACCCCTTGAAAACAAGGGTCATTTCCAATCTTCAAATCTCCTCATCCCTTGGTTTCAGAGCCTTTCTTGCAGATACTTGGAGGCAAGTCCTGAATCCTCTCAAACTACGCTTCCTTTAGGGCATCACTGGACCTGGGGCAGATGCTAGAGGTAGCTCTAGTCCAGGAGTAAATCTTCCTCAGCGAGAAGGAAGTGGGGCATCCCCTTCCCCAGAACAAAGAGCACCAGACTACCTAATACCACTAGGGGGCACTGTGGACTGTCATGTTTGGGACGCTGAGCCTGTCCACAGCTTCAAGGGGGTAACAAGCACCTTCTCTCTCTTATATCCTGACCCCTATGTCAGGTGATCCTCTGTGGGGTCTGCACAGCACTACCTGTGCTCTTTAAAGGAAATGAACAGTTATAGTTGGCCCACGATGCTCTTCTGAAGCCTACTTGCTGGAAGGTTGTGAATGAGTTTGGGAACATGACTGTGCTCCTTAAAAAAAAGTTCTTTAAAAGCCCGATCCTGTCTGATCTCGGAAGCTAAGCAGGGTCGGGCCTGGTCAGTACTTGGATGGGAGACCACCTAGGAAGGCCAGGTGCTGTAGAGAGTGAAATCATGACAGTCTCTGATCTTATACTTCATACTTCAGCATTCCTTTCTCCTAATGCCTTCAATTTAAATGGACCCATGGGTCGGAAGAAATGGCCACACTGCTTACTATGTCCAAAGTTCTCGACATAGAGAAAGGAAGTCCAATCAGAGATTGGGTTTCTTTTCAGAGGCATCTGCTAAGTGGTAGAAAAGAAGAAATGCATACTTTGGGCTTTTGTCATTCTGTTCAGAATGGATTTGTTACTTGGGACAGTCAAAACAGGCTCATTTCACAAGAGCTAGATTAGTACTGCTGAGCTGGTCGACAGGCCATGAATCTCTCTGGGATCTTCTGACCAACAAGCCATTCTACAGCCTTGCTGCACTGATGGAGAAACTGAAGCATGGATGGCAAAAGGTGATGGGCAGTACTTCTAGGAAAGGTCTGGGATCATAACTCTGGGGCTCTTTGTGCTTTAATCTGAGTCACTCTTCCACTTCCCAAACTCTTCTAACTCAGGATGGTCTGACCAACTGCATCCTTGACGAGAGTCACTGGGAAGTCTGGGGTCATGGTCCTGTCCCCTGCTCTCCATCACCTCCAAACTTCACATAGCATTCCTTTCTCTCCTTCTTGCTCCAGGGCTATGGAGTCTGCCCTGGCTTTACCCATGCTTCCATGTCCACCCACCTTCCTACTGATCTCATCACGTCTTATCTGGACGATTGTCACCGCTTCCCTGTGAGCTTTTTCACTTCCAACCTTTTCTCTAGCTCATCCTTCTTATGGTGGGGTTTGGGTTTTGGAGCCAAGCTTGGAGACTGGGGCTCAAACTGCAGTTCCCGACTTCTTAGTGCATGGGTAAGATACTTAACTTTGCTAAGCTTCAGTTTTCTCATATGCAAAATGGATAGGAAGTCCTATCTGCTGGAGCTGGTATGAGGATTGAATGAAAGAAAACGAGACACTCAGTAAACCTGTAAGAGATGGTAAACTTCTCAACACAGGAAATTAGATCATGGAACTGTTCAAAACCTTAGGTCCATGGCACTGAGGCCACCACTACCTAGTCCTAGACCAGGAGGCCATAACCTGCTTCCACCATTTGCTTCCTCTCCCCTCAGCCAATGTACATACCTTAGTCATCTCAGAAATCCCAGCTCCAACACAGTGATGGCCATATAATAGGCCCTGAGGAAATGTTCTTTCTTGCAGCCACAAATGAGCAAGTTTCTACCATACATTCACATCTGCCCACCCATGTGTCAAGGCCTAGCTGAAAAGCAGCTTCCTCCATGAAGCCTTCCTTGATGCTTCGAGATGGAACTCATCAATCTTTTCTCTGTGCTCCTATTTTGTTAACACTACACTACACTACACTACACTACACACACACACATTCTTTCAGTTTAGTTAAATGAGTACACATCTTATTTCCTCACCACAACGCAAGTTCTGAGGGAACTCAGGGTACTTGGTACAGTGCTTAACACAGAATACTACTTAATACACGCTTGCTGTGTTAAATTCCTCAGCTTTACTTAAATATTGGCAGATCTCATATTAAATCACTCAGAAGTATCAAAATTATAAAAGATATAAAAGGCAGTCATATTTGAGGGATTATTAATTTATTTTAAGGCTAAGTATCTTTAAAGAAGATGGAATTCTATAAAAATCGGGAATAAATCTGCCAATGTCGTCAAATTGATTTCAAGCGTAACTGTTTGACCAGTTTCACACAAGGGAACACCCAGTGCAGAAAGCTGCTCCAGAGAGTCGAGTTAGGCATGTTGCCAATGGTAAAGTCATCCACTGCATTCAAGATTCGTCTCATTCCTTTTCTCTTTAAAAAAAAATAATAAACTTGAATAATAAATTGTTCTACCTGGAACTTCCCAAACGTTAAGTAAATAAATAACTACCTGGGGCAGTATGCCAATTTCTTTTGAAAGACTACATAGCATAGATTTAAACATATAGACTAAGGTTAGTCCACAGACAGAGAGAAGTGGGTTCAAAAACAGCTGGGTGATTTTTGGTTGGTTACTTAATGCCTCTGAACCTCAGTTTCTCATCTGTAAAATGGAAACATCATATTTATTTCACAAGGTACTGTGAGGATTAAACACAAAAGTCCATGTAAAGTGCTTAGCATAGTGCCAGGCAGAGAGTAAGCATGCAGTCAATGGCAATTATTATAAATGGCTCTTTGCCAAAGTTCACTTTCTTGGAACTCCTTAAGTCTTCAGAGGGGCCTCACACTTCATGTAGACCAACAACCCCACCTTAAACATGAGCACCCTGAGGTCTGGAGAGAGTCCTGCAGGCTTCACATCTGCATTTACTGCCTCCTAAATGAACCGGAAGCCCCTAAGGCACAGAAATTACCTTCTTACACATCTATATCCCAGACAGCATCCGGCATAGAGCTGTGCTCTGTCATCAGGAATGGTGCTACCGTGTATGACAGGTACACACACCCTTCTCATAGTCAAGGCTTCTGTCCCAGTAGTATGAGTAGGGGTTCTTTCAGGATAGATTGCCAGATTAATTGCTGAGCTCTCATGCCAATGCCATTAGTGTTTGCCTTGCTAGGTTATTTCAGTGGAGCTATTCTTGATCTCGGGCAGCAGCAAGATGGTGGTGATGGTATCACTGTGAACAGCTGTCACTATGGACACCCAGTTGGGTCAGGCCACAGTGTTAAGCATCTTTTATGCAACATCTCATCTGGCTCTCACAATCATGTGGGAGAAACTCTTATTATCCCCATCTGACAGATAAGGAAATGAAGCTCAGAGTTCTGAGCCTATCATAGAGTAAATATCACTTGATAGATTTTTTTCATTACCCTCTCTCCTTACCTGTATTAACAGCCCAAATGCTCCTTTCAAAAATATTGCTGGAGTGCAGGGGCTGGCCCAGTATATAAAACTGGCCAAGCCTGGCACAAGTGGGCCCTAGGGAGCACTCAGGGGAGAGGACTTTACTGCCTGCTCAGACCTGCTGCGTGGGCAGGTGGCAGAAGCTCCAGGCAAGAGAAGTGATCCTGAGTCCTAATCCTCTAAACCTGCAGATGAAGGATCGTGCTATCTCAAACTTATCTTGTTGATTTAAGTTAAGGGTAAGATCTAGTTTATCAGAATGGAGGACTCTTATCTAACAAATCAAAACATATCAGGCTTTGTTACACAATATCTGTATTTTCTTGAAAAGTTGTAAAGCAGGATTCCATAAATTCTGAGACTAAGGTCACAAATATTTCATTACTTTTTAAAGTAATCAAAAACTAGAATAAGGAGAAGTCTAGTCAAAACTTTACCTCAACTGAGAGCACCATATCCAGCAAGCAAACAAGTATGGGAAAGGAGAAAGTGGTCAGCCTAGAGTAGAGCCACTAGTGCATAAACCAACCGAGCAGAGGCAATGCAGCATAACATCACTTGTGCAACTCTAAGGCCACAGACAGCAGCACTGACTCCACAAGAGTCAGGAAATAAAAGTCAAATGAACTGAGAGTTGAAGAGTTGAGTAGAAAAAGATTATGCCTTATTCCCACCCGAGAGCATCTAGAATCCTCAGTGGTCTACATGGGAAAGTGGATCATCTGAGAGACAGACCTGACATCAAATGAAGGAACTATGCAGAGGTCATCCCTGCTTAGGCAGCACTCTGGAATGTCTGTGCCAGAGGTCAATCCTGAGAAAAATCAGGAGACACAGAAGAACAGAGAGTGGGCACAGTGGTTACAGCTTGTGCTCTACTGGGATTCAATCTACTCTACACTCCTGCCCTCACCTTGCACAGACATTTAGTCACTATACTTCAGTTCCTCAACCCTAAAATATAAACAATAGTGTCAGCCTCACAGAGCATTAAATGAGGGTATGGAGAGTACTTGCCATGGGACCTAGCTCAGTGGTTATTAACTGGGGGCAATTTTGTCCTCCAATAAACATCTGACAGTGTCTGGAGACATTTTGGTTGTTATAACTGAGGGGTGGTAGCTACTGGGGTCTAGTGGGTAAAAGTTGAGAATGCTGCTAAACATCCAACAATGCACAGGCCATCCCTCACAACAAAGAACTATCCAGCCCAAAATGTCAGTAGTGTCAAGATTTAGAAACCCTGGCGGAACACATAGCAAGCACTCAATAAATATGAGCTATCAAATTATCTTTACTACTAAAATAGTAAACAATCAAGTTGTAGTTTCTTTCCCTCAAGAATAACCAACATCTGTGATTAAAGAGATGATCTGTAATCATAATGAGATGATTTTGACATTATTATTATAGGAGACAAAATGCATTACTTACTCCACTTCTTGGAATATTGGGTAATAGATCTGTCATTCTGGAGACAGGAAGAGTTTGCTGCTTGGTTGATTCTGGGGAACTCAGTAACTTTTTGAAATAAATAACATAGCAGAGCACCAGAACTGCAGTATAGAAAAGCTGAAAGAAAAAAATGGGTTTAAATTATACGGTTTTAATATAGGAATAATTAAGATATGTCTGTAAATTTGACCTCAAAAGCCAATCAAGAAATAGAACTTAATTAACTAATTAACTGCACCTGCCTCAGCCTCTGGAAAATAGCACTATTTACTAAGACCCAACTCCACTGCAGCATCTCTGGGAAGTGTTCCAAACACTTTACCTGACTGGGAGAACAGAAGTTCTTCTGGGCAAACAGAACATAACTTCCATGACAGATACCCAGTAGCACAATCACCACAGTGATGTCAGATATGTTCTCAAAAGATTCCTATTTGGTCAAAGGAATGGCTCTCCCGCCTAGATAGCACACTGTGAGGATCCGTGTGTCCTGGCCGTGCCAATATCCAGGGACCTGCCATCATCTAGGACTGGGAATTTTCCATAAACCCTGTAAACCTGTGACATTATGATTACAAAGCAGAAGTGAGCTGCTGGCTCTCTCCTCTCTGCCCAGGACATGGGCAGGGCAAGAGCTACTACAGGATGGGGGAGGAAAGGTGGAGTGATAAGAAGGCCTACCCTCCCTCCTACCATCCTGAACAAAAGAACGGCTTTTGGCCAAGAGCAGCAGCCTGGGGTTTTATTTGCAGGTTGGGGAGAAGTATTCAAAGAGACCCTTTTCTCAAGCTCCCCTCTACCCTTTTATACCCTTAGAATAGCAGTGCACGCTAGCTCAAGAAGAAATAGGACCTCCAGGCACCACTTTTAATCTGGAAACACTGAGGCTGCTCCTGTAGGAAAGGCACAGAGCAAGGATGAAGAGGAATCGTGATTTAGCTGGTTTAGGCTCCTGTGCTCTCCATCCCTGTTCCATCCATACCTGAGGACAAAGCCTGACATCTACCATCTCTTTTTTTTTTTCAGTTTTATTGAGAAATAATTAACATACATCATTGAACAAGTTTAAGGCATACAGTATAATGATTTGATTTACACATATCGTAAAATAGTTACCACAATAGGTTCAGCTAGCATCCATATTCTCATACAGACATCGACAAAAAGAAAAAAAACAATTTCTTTTCTCCTGGTGATGAGAACTCATAGAATTCACTATCTTAACAATTTTCCTATATATCATACAGCAGTGTTAGCTATAGTCATCACATTGTCCATTACATCCCCAATACTTATTTACCTGGTAACTGAAAGTTTGTACCTTTTGACTATTTTCCTCCCATCCCCTCCTTCTTCTTTCATGCCTCAAGCCCTTTAAGACACAAGCAGCACTGCTGTGAGCCACACCATCTGCTGCCAACATCCTGTGATAAGTACCTTTTTTCCGGCTCCCTCCCCCACCTCTCTTCACCTTCCTGCTCATCAGAGCCTGAGAAAACAGTAACAACCTATGGGTAGTCTTCTTCTGGTACCCTAACTATATGATCCCTCCCCTTTTTTTACTGAGAAAAAAATCATGTAACAAAACAATGACTGTTTTAACCGTTTTTAAAGCATACAATTTAGCGGCTTTTAGTACATTCACAATGTTGTACAATCACTATCATTATCTCATTCCAGAACATTTCCATCACTCCAGAAGGAAATTTTGTACCCATTAAGCTGTCAGTCTCCATTCCCCCACCCCTCGGCAGCTACTAATCTGTTGTCTCTCTGGGCTTGCCTATTTTGGACATTACATATTAATGGAATCATACAATAGGTGGCCTTTTGTGCCTGGCTTCTTTCAGTTAGTAAGTTTTCAAGCTTCATCATGTTGTAGCATGTATCGCTATATCATTTGTATGGCTAAATAACATTCTATTGCATGGATACACCACATTTTGTTTATCCTTTCATCAGGTGGACATTTCGGTTGTTTCTACTTTTCGGCTATTGTGAACAGTGTTGCTATGAGCATCCATGTACAAGCTGAACACCTGTTTCAATTCTTTTGGGTATACTGAAGAGTGGAATTGCTGGTCATCTGGCAGTTCTATATTTATCTTTTTGAGGAACTGCCAAACTGTTTTCCACAGCAGCTGCACTATTTTACATTCCCACCAGCAATGTATGAGAGTTGTAATTTCTTCATATCTTTGCCAACGCTTGTATTTGTTTGTTTGTTTGTTTTATAATAGCCATCCTTACACTATCTCACTGTGGTTTTGGTTTATATTTGCCTAATGATTAATGATGTTGAGCATCTTCTCATGTGTGTTTATTGGCCATTTATTTGTATATCTTCTTTGGGAAAATGTCTATTCGAGTCCTCTACCCATTTTTAGGGTGGTTTGTGCTTTTGTTGTTGAGTTGTATTAATTCTTTATATATTCTGAAGTGACCCTTGAATGACATCTGATGCCATGGAATGAGGGGCTCTTTGAGGAGGAACCTAAGGTGAGTTGGACAAAGGGGAAACCCAGGGCCTTAGGTATGCTCTGCTGCTATCACCTGCAGGGCTCACCTACTGATATGAGGTGCTACTGACTCTTAGACTTCTAACACAGACACTGACAGAGAATGTACCAGAGAAGAGCTTTCAGAAGTCTTACGATAAGGAAGCAAATAAACTCAGAGCTGGCCTAGATGACCTATGATCTATGTAGGACATATCTTTGGTGGGAGTTATAATAATCAGCAAGTCATAGTATAAGTGCCTTTCCCAGGAAGAATCAACCAATAACTGGGTGTCTCCATGGCCCTCCTGTCCTATTAGGGAGAATGCATCAAAAAGCATAACGAATACTGATAACTGTAGTTTCAGATCTAATCAAAAGTGGCAAAAATAATCACAAATTACTTCTCTAAAGTATGCAAAATTTGCAATTGCTTCTAGGAGGCAATTCTTGTTCCTATTCTATTAATTTAAAATTTTGCTCTTCTGTGTTTCAGAAAAATATTTGTTGCTTTTGCCTAAGACATGGGAAAGACTCTAACATAAATCATTACTAAAAATTTTAACTTATATTCCTATACATTAAAAAAAATTACAAACTGCTTTATACAATAGGATAGTCTGGTAACTATCTGATCTTAAGTTGCATTTCTTAAATTAGCACTTATACTTTATTATATTTTTATTAGAACGAGAAATATGAACCAGAACCAGAAAATGATAAGATGAAAATGATAACATGGAAATGAAGCCAAACTGCTAAAACTGAAAATACACCTGCTCAGACTTGATTTATACTCTCTGAATGACGTGAGAGTTCAATTTAAGTTTAAGATAGGCTTGGCAGAACTTCCCCCTATTAGGAAAACAACTGATTAAAATCCAAGGAAAATAACACACATGCAATTTGATTCCCACTCCACCTCCTTATCGTTTTTTTTTTTGTCCTCTATAAGATAGCCAGGTGATCAAAGATCAGTTTGATATAGGCTTGCCCACAGAATGTCTAAAGGAGTTTTTACGTTTGACAATGAGGCCTAATGTATGGCCTGCTCCAGGCCCCGAGGGACACCAGTGGTGTCAGTGCATGGAGCAGGATGAACATGGTGGCCGGAAGAGAAACAGTGTGAAGATCATCTTTTTAGAGCACCTAGCCTTCCTCACGTGCATGAATACTGCAAATGTAAACAATGTAGTAACTGAAACAAGAAAAAACAACCAGATGGAAAAACAGATTATACAAAAGTTAAAAGCCGTAGCTATTACCTGAGCCAAAGAGAAAATGTACAGTCCCCAGTGAGGCAACCACAGCACAAGAAAAGCTGTCAGGACACTCTTGAGGATTACCGACAGGCTCTCAGCAATCACCTGCAAAGGTGTGGTAAAGGGTGCACTTTACAAACATTATTACAAACTATGCAAAAACTATTTAAAAAGATATAAATGAATGACAAATAGAAAATCTGGGACATTGGTTACCCTAGCAGTGGGGGTGTGGCAGGTCATAGGACATAGTATCAGTAATGTTCTACTTGGGTTAGGTAGTAGGTTCTTGGTTCTCCAGGATATCATCATGCTTTAAGATTTATATGTATGTTATATATTCTTTTGTACATATCAAATTATATATTTTAAAAGATGAAGGGAAAAATTAATATTTAGTATACAACTAAAACAGAATCACTAGAAAAATCTGAAAAACCTTTATAGTCCTCTTAAATTCTTATTTAAACAAATAACTTCCCTATTAGCAAACCTGCATTTTTATTAATAGCATAGCAGAAGTAAACTTTAGCCCAGCCCATCTGCCAAATTTCAAGTGAATAAACTAAACTGATTATTTACCTATTTCCAAATACCTTTTTAGATGCAAGTCTGAAAAAATTATTCTCTCCTATAGAGCCATTTTT